ATCGTACATAGTGACATTGTTGCCTCTACCTCAAGCCTTCTTGCACGGTAACAGGCAGAAGGAGGACAGATAGTTTGCTAGGGTTTGTGGGATAACACCTCAAACAAGCCTGGCTCGCGACTGGCAAGGATCAGGCCGGTGCTCAGGTTGGCTGGGTTCCGATTGAATTGGACGAGCCGAAACTATTTTGGGGAAGAGGTAGAAGGAACGCGGCCGCGGTTCTGCAAGTGCACCACTGTGGGGGACGTTGATCAGATCCACGAACTTTCTGAGCCAGCGATTTTTGGTGGTGGTTTTGGCATGCTGCATATGCCATTTGACAGCACGCGCCGATACGCCGACTGCCGACACCGCAAAATTCCGCGACCATCGAGCGGTATTGCATGGTGCTTATGGACGCTCTACTCTTACGAGCGCAGCCTTGCATCTTCCACACTGCATTGTTGCTCGTTCTTTTTTCTTTTCATTGTCGATTGAAAGGCGGTTTGACGGCACCACATTGCTCTACCTCGACAACTGCATATCACGCTTACAAGACGGCGATATCACGTTATCGGGGAAACTTCGGCAGGCAACGTGCTCACACCTAAAAACTCAAATCGTATCGGCTGTAGCGATGGAGTCCTACCACCGCAACCGCCCTCGACATGTCGCCATGAGAGACGACCGCAGATCAGGCGATGAGCGCAGAGACCGAGGCAGAGCTGGTCGAGAAGTGACACGCTCCCGCAGATCTCCTTCGCCTCCACCACGTCGACCTCGAGAATCAGACAGATTGTCAGACAGCAAACCACGCGACCCCCCTCCCGACAAGTCGCAGCCTTCCGGCCGAAGCCACCACAGAACACGCGAACGTAGCAGAGAACGACCTCGTCGAGCATCGCCATCACCTTCCCGTCGCGACAAGTACAGGGAAGACTCTCGTGATCGATCTCGTGGCAGGGGTGGTGGGGAGTCGCGGCGCGAATCCCGAGCCAAGCACCCGCGAGATCGCAGTCGAGGAGCACAGCGAGGTGACGGCGCCGCGTCTCCATCTTCGAAGCGATTGAGAAGCCGAAGTCTCGACAGGACTGCCACGGATAGAAAGAAGGCCAGACGAGATAACAGCCCGCGTCGTGATCACCGCGAAGCAATCCCTGGAGACGCTGGTCGAAGTGCACGAGGCTCGCCACGTCCATCTCGACGATCACCCAGTCCCGACCGCCACGAATACCGGTCAAAACCCAAGGAGAGGAGTCGACGAAGGCATCGAAGCAGGTCTCGCTCGCCTGAAAGAGAAAAAAGAAGAGATCGCCGTGATCGTTCTACGTCACGCCGCCGCGAGCAGTCTCCTAGCCGAAGAAGAGACCGTTCTCCACTGCCGCATCGTCAAAGGTCACCAGCCAGACCTCCCTCCACGTCCACAAGGAGTGACCGTCGCCCGGCATCACCGCGACGCAGTTCCAGAGATAGGCAGCGCAGAAGGCCGTCTCAGTCCCGTGCCTCCACTCGGTCCCTTAGTAGGGGGTCAGGTAGACGAGGGCAACAGGGCGACGACTCCCGAGTTGCTTCCAAGTCTCAACCGTCCTCTGGCGCCAACAGCGTGGAGGTCAGCATGAGTGGCAGAGGCAATCATCGGGGGGGCTTTGTCTCTCAGGGGCCGCCTGCATTCGCCCACGGCCAACAGTACAGCGACCCACGACAATTTTCTCAATCCCCGCAACCCACCCCCAATTCATACAACGGATCCCCAAACCAGTCGCCATACGGTGCTGGCAGGGGAAACTGGGGTTCTCAATTTTCTCCAACGCAGTATGTCGTACAACATTCCATCAAACTACCGTCACGCTCCTGCTCACCATCTTCTAGTCAATATCCCCCTCAGTATCCACAGTCCAACTATGGTCCTCCGACCGGACCGTCGGGCGCTTATACACCAAACCCATCTTACTCGCCACCGCCATCCGCCCCGACAGGACCTATGCATACGAACTATTCTCATCCCAATTATCGAGGTAACTTCCGTGGGGGACTTCGAACCCCACTCGGACCTGGCCGAGGCGGCTACAGAGGCAACAGCTTCAAGAGTACTAGCACAGCACAGTGGACATCCAACACCTCAGGCACCGGCTCCCGGGCCGATGACATTAAGTCCCAGCACTCTGCGACTCCTGCTCAGAGTAGCAAGTCCGATATTGCCGACAATGCAGAAGATGGCGAGAACCCGTTCCGCCCGTCCAAGGATATGCAGGTTGAGGATACCACACCATCTGACAAGGCTCCCGAGAGTAATTCACAACGGCCCGAAAAGGCTCCCCCGTCTGGGCCGGCTGCCCAGTCGGCATCATCGTCGTCGTCGAAGTTCAGCTTTGCGTTTAAGGCATCTGCAAAGCCCACTCCGACGGCGCCCAAGCCTGAGATTTCTCAAAAGTTCAACGCTCCTGTAAAGCGGGATATCTCGCAGCAGAATGACTCCAAGGAGCGGGATCGCGAACATGATCGTGAACGGGAGCGTGACCGTGACCGAGACCGAGACCGAGGAAGAGACAGAGACAGAGATCGCGAACGTGATCGTGACCGCGACCATGGCCGTGATCGAGAACGCGATCGAGCCCGCGAGAAGGACAAGCAGATTGACAAGGACATTCTTCGGAGTGCCCCGACCGAACCGGCGTCGGCGAGGGCCCGCCAGGAGCCGAGACAACCCCCTCCGGGGCCCCGACAGCCTACCGCTCCGAGAACACGAAAGATCAAGAAGACGATGAAGCGCTTGAAGCCGGGACCGAAACTTCCGGATGACCTCATCAAATCAGAATCTGTCTATTTCCGCAAACCTGGCAACGAGTCTGTCGTTGGCTCAGGCACGTACGGTAAGGTTTTCAAGGCCTTGCACGTTTACACGAAAGGTCTTGTTGCGCTCAAGCGTATCCGCATGGAAGGCGAGAGAGACGGCTTCCCCGTTACGGCGGTCCGCGAGATCAAGCTTCTGCAGTCACTGCGGCATACGAACATTGTTCAGCTCCAGGAGGTCATGGTGGAAAGGAACGATTGCTTCATGGTTTTCGAATACTTGTCACACGACCTGACGGGTATTCTGAACCATCCATCCTTCACCCTTGACGCGGCCAAGAAGAAGCACATGACGATGCAACTCTTTGACGGACTCGACTATCTGCATAAGAGAGGCGTTCTCCACCGAGACATCAAAGCTGCCAACATCCTCGTCAGCAGTGACGGCGTTCTCAAGCTGGCAGATTTCGGCCTGGCTCGCTTCTACGCCAAAAGACACCAGCTGGACTATACCAACCGAGTCATCACGATTTGGTATCGTTCGCCAGAACTACTTCTCGGTGAGACGCAGTACGGCCCCGCTTGCGATGTTTGGAGTGCCGCCTGCGTTATGGTGGAGATTTTTACCCGCCATGCCATCTTTCCAGGCGATGGAAGCGAGATCAATCAGTTGGATAAGATCTATGCCGTGATGGGAACTCCGAACAAGGCAGAGTGGCCAGGCCTGATCGACATGCCGTGGTTCGAACTGCTGCGTCCCGGGTACCGGCGGGCGAACACCTTTCCCCAAAAGTACCAGGACAGGCTGCCGGCATCCGCATACCGACTCTTGGCTGCCATGTTTGCATACGACCCCGCCAAAAGACCGTCGGCCGCCGAAGTGCTCGCAGATGAGTACTTTACCACCGAGGAACCGCCTCCGCAACAGGCCGTTGAGTGAGTTTTCCCTTTCGAGTTGCTCAATGACACGCATTAACTGACTATCTAGGCTTGCTGACTTGGACGGCGACTGGCACGAGTTTGAGTCAAAGGCACTCCGACGAGAGAACGAGCGGAAAGAAAAGGAAGCGCGGCGGGCGGCTGCATCGGCCAAGGATAGCGGCAACAACAGCAACGGCAGCAACAACAAGCCCCGGGACCGTAAGAGGGAACCCGAGGCTCACGACGACCGTGGCGACGCTAAGAGGGTCCACGTGGAGACGAAGCCGGCGGTTGCTGTCGAGCGTCCCAGGGCTTAGAAGACCCGGTGGCGTTGATGAGGGTTTTCCACCGCTTGGTACGGCCAATCGACACCATTCAACTCTTGTTTATCTTACTCTTCTGCATTGTTTTTGCGTTGGCATGGCGTTGGGGGGGCATTTTCATTTGGAAGGGTTTCACGCGTGGGGGTTGGACGAAAGGTTGGAAGGTCGGACGGGTGAAGCCTTGTCGCACGCAAGCTTGGCTTCTTATCATCATCATCGCGAGACGGCTTGAGTGAGTTGTCTTCAACAGTAGTTGTTCCAAGAATTGTGGTAAACCTTTTTTTGGTCGACGTAGCGTAAGAAAGAGGAATATACCAGGAGACGATGATGACGACGAAACGTTGCCACTGCGAATACTTTGACGGCCATTGTGACATTTCCAGATCTGTAGCCGTTCTCTCTCGCCTACCTCGACGCAAGTAAGGCAACGAGCGTGATAAACATTCGTAGTGGAAGACAGGTTCGATCAAGCGTCATTTCCAGATACTGACAACATCACGCTTTTGATTCACGCAATAAGCCTCAAGCGATACTTCAAACGAGTTGAACGCCTATACGTCTCAATTCTCAATCTGAAAAATAGATAAAACAGCCACCGTTCCCTCTTTGACCCAGTCCGTTCCCAGAATATCATACCCTCTCATTCTTGTGTGTGTGTGTATCGTAAAAGTCGTCAAATCATTCTTCGTGGTGTTGTGTGAAGTTGTACTGCTTACAGTTTTGATGAGCCGCAACCCCTATTCTGTAGGGGCCATCGTCTCCGGTCTGTGCTTTTTGTGTATAGCCTTCCGCTTTATATGTGGGTATCAGAATCAGGTCTCTTTTTGGTCATTTCTCGCCGTCCTTTTTGATACCGAGGCGATCAAGCCCAGTATCGCCTCATCAAACCACGTCTTTTGTTCGAAAATGCCCAACAGCGCACCTATCAGCACTGAAATGGGCCTCGCCGCCAATAATGTGCGCAATGCCATCCGAGGCACCAAGGTCTCATGACGGACCTTCGACGCCCTTCCCCTTGTTCTTGAATTCCGCCGTTTTGAGCAATTCGCGTAAGCTACCCTCAGCATGGCTTCTCGACACGCCGCCCTGAGCAGAGGCTGAGCCAAGTCCCACGACGGGCGGCAATCTCCACGGCACCCATCCAGTCAGCCCGGCCAAGAGACCCGTCGGTGTCTTCGTCTGATCAGGCTGGGTTGATGTCTCGTGGTGCTGGGGCCCAGATGCGTCGGCTCGATGACTTTCGTCCGATCCTTTGTGGACATGGCGATGGGCCACGCTCTCGTCGACATCCGTCCGAACTTCAAGATGGCTAGTCGACGTTTTTGGCAAAGCCGGCTCGCTGACTAAAGCTGTTGCCGAGCTTCGGGGTGAGGCAGGCTTGTTAGCGGCCATGGACTGTCGTGTGCTCTCCAACATGGCCGTGGCGAATGATGAGGATTTCCTCCTGACTAGTGGTGGCGGCTGATTCTTCTGATCCTTGCTCGACTGTCCCTCGCCCTCGCTCACTGACGACGTGGGCGTTGTGCTGCCTGAAGACTTGCGTGCGGCCCTGCCTCGCACCTCAGCGGTGATCTCTGCGGCCGACTTCTTCTTTGACTTGTCCTCCTCGGAAGACCGACTGGAGGACATAATCGTCTCCAGGGTTCCCATGGCTATGCTTCTCCTCCTACCAGTACTCCGTCGCTTTTTGTGCCTGCGCTCTTCATCCGACACAACGGCTTCCAGTGTTGGACCAGCACTCTGGCGCTGGCGCCTGGAAGACGATGCGTGGCTCTTGAAAGATGCGCCGGATCCATGAGGTGCAACATGAACCTCGTACTGATTACTCAATGAGTATCGCGATCGGGCACATATCTCGGCAATTCGATCGAGGTCGGCGTTGATGTTGTTCTCTCCCTCCTCTGCCTCAATGTTGGCCATCATGCTCTTGAAGCTATACGCCTCCACAGGCGGGAGCTTAGCCAGGGCATCCTGGCCTTCCAGGCGCTTCTTGGCCATTCCTCTAGCCATACTCAAACCTCCATTCTGAGCAGATTTAGTCCCGCCAAATGTGGTGCGAAGAGCTATGATGCGCCGTACAGAAGCCGCGGAGCCGCTCACCACAGACGAGGCGGTTCGTGGGCCGAGACCACCTCCGCTTACACCGTTACTGCGACTGGTACTGGTGGGTCGGCTGTGAGACCCAGAGTATGTTCTTACAATGACGGGCTGAGAGTATGTACTGCTTTGGGCACCGGTAGACTTGGCGTAGCGATGGCGGGAAGGGTAATTGCTGTTCAGCTCGCGCAGGGCAGAAGTACGATGTGCAGCGGTGCTATCGTCAAGGGGAATTGGCTTTCCCTCAGCCGTCGAAGGAACAAGAGATGTCGAGGACGTGTTGGGCTGGAAGAGCGGGGGGAATGCAAATGATATAGAGTCTCGCGAGGTTCTCTTGGACGCGAGAGAGGAAGGGAATTGGGTGGCCACGGGGGCACCTCCGGGACGAGTACTTGGGGGATGATGGCGGGATTGAGATGAACCGGAATGGTCTTGAGGAGGGGTCTTCCCTGAACCCATCTTCACTGAAGGTCGCGGATTGCGCGACGGGCTAAATATATATACAACGATATAGCAGCATGAGCCGCCAGGGTAGTAGTGTTGATGGGCAAGTCGGCGTTGCTATGTCGTGTGGCAGGATGGGGTTTGGGGTGGGAAAAAAGTCAGATCAGCGGATGCGGAGGCATGGTTAGCTGGGTATCGGACGTCGCGTGTGGGAGAGAGATATGTCGAGCGCTGTTCCTGACCGGGATGTGGTTCGCGGGCGAGGAGAGAATATGCAGGTAGGTTGTTTTAGCAAATGTGCGTATCGTCCGTTCTGGAACTGTGTCCTTCCAAATGGGCAATGGGCGGTCTCCGGAGGTGGAGATGGGTTGAGTTGAGACAGGCAGATACGGGCGATTGAGGTGTGAGTGTCTACTGTAGTATATCCGAGTAGCGTGACTGCGGCGTGGTGGAGCGAGTTCTGTGAGGAAGCAATCCGGATCGCCTCGAGATGCGCAGACAAGGTTGCAAACTGGATTCCCCGCAGCGATTGCAGATTTCTCTCGAGAAGAGGAGCAAAAAGGTGGAGGAGGAATGAGACAAAAGCGATGGAGAGGGAAATCAGAAAGGGGGAGAAGCAAGAAAAAGAGTATTCTGGCAAATGTTTAGGGTGAAGTTGCATCCGGTTGTAGCGTTGGGTTTTTGGGGCGGGGGAAGAGGCAGGAGGCAGGAGGCAGGAGAAAGAGAGGCTACTTGCAGTTTAGACTGTGACAATAGGCGCAAAAGCGGTATCCGGAGACACACAATGACAGACAGCCCAGCCAAAGAAGACAGCCCGGCTTTTGGTAAGCCGCTAGAGAAAAGACTTGAGAGGCTATTACAGGCTAGAGCAACGCGGCACCAGCGAACGAAGCAGGTGCGTGCTGCACGAGTGTCGTGGCTGCCGTTCAAAGGGTGGTCCGACACTGACCCCCCCTGTCGCTGCCATTGAGCTCCCGTCAGTGCCGTCCAATGACGGCGGTTTTTACCGTGCCAAACGGCAATACTGTGAGACGGTGGCACGGTCCTCTCCCCCCGCCGGTCGCTCTTCCGTTCTTAATTCCCAGTGTCCCACCCTCCGGCACCTCAACACATCGACACGGCGACTGGCCCAAAAATGCCAACTCTACGCCCGAGCCATAGTCAAAAATGACCAGTCACCACCCCCTCATTGGCACTGACTGTCCAATCCTGGCGGCGTCTCTATCGTTGAATCAGAATGCTGTTTTCAAAAACACGGACATTTTGAATTGATTCCTTGGTCTTGAGTTGATACAGAGAAGCGATTCTGAACGAATATTCCGATCTTCCCATGTGTGTATGGCCAGACCATTGTCAACACCACTGTCACGCCAAATGAGCTAGTTTTGAAGACGAATACTCACATTGCAAAGTCCCGTCACAATGATGCCCTCGAGTCTCGACCAGGCCTACCTACTCAATAAGTTCCACCCACATGGCACCGCCTGCCCAGCCCTGTCGATTCGGCAGCATTGATTCGAGCATGGAGCCAAGCGAGATGCATGCAACTACAATGCTGCTCGTTCAACCACATCCCTCAACATCCTCGAGCTGCGACTGCTCATAGCACAAGAATCATATTTACATCCACCGGTGGCAAGGCCAGGTAGGATGCGCTGGCAATCGAGATCCGGCACCATCATCTGCACGCGCTCCAGGCACGCGCACGTCGTTGGTCAAGTTTCTGATTGTGGTATTATTCTTGTCTATCTTCATACATTCTGCATGCCGCCAGAGGACCATCGCCTCCTCGTTGTCGCCGGGTGAACGCCCTTTCCAAAGATGATGTTGATGTCGCTTGTCTAGATACCGGCCATACCTAGTCGTACCGCATTGCCGTACATGTGCCGCACTACCATTCCGCTGCAGCTACAGCCACCGATAGCTTCACTAGATAGCCATCTAGTCTTGCGACTTAGTGAGTCGGCTGGGCAATCGTGCCGTAACCATGTCCGCCGCTCTGCACGTTGTCGCTGTAAACACCCGGCGCGCGACCAGTAATGATACGGCCCTCCCTCGCCTGCTCCTTGCGGTCGTAGTATACGTATTCGAGGTAAAATGCGTGGATGTGACCGGGGATGTATCCCAGAATCGTCAGACAGATATTGACGAGAAGATCTATGGAACTGGTCAGCGCTACTTCTAACTAGCCACCGCCTTGCAAGAGACGTGGACTTTGGACAACTCACCCATGCCACAGCCAGCGACTGCGTAGACACCGACAGGCGGCACTGTAGTATATGTTAGCATTGCCTCTAGCTTCTTCTTGCAACCAAGTTTGCGTCGCCGTGACGTACCCAGAATGGTGATGAGGATGAGAAAGACGGCGGAAATGGCACCCATTTTGTTTGTCTGATGTTTTCCCTAATAGAAAGTGATTGTCTTCGAGGATGATGCTTGATGATTCGATGGGACTGGACGAATGTTCTGATTCAGTTGCGTGCGCTCAAGGGTATCAAGAAGTGTCAGTGTGTGTGAGGTTGTTGTTGATTTGGCAAAACAAGTCCACGTCAACCTCAGCCGAGGCGAGGAGAACCTTAAATGCCCCAGCCTGGGTCAGACTCAGACATAACCTGGCGTGCCTGGCAAGGCGGCGGCGCGGCGAACGGCCAAAAATTGCCGTGCTCTCGCCTGCCTTGTCTTGCTTTGCGAGAGGTAACAGGTTGCGCGTACGCCCTGACGCCTCCCCCTCGACCTACGTAACCTGAGTAGCCAATGTCAATGAGCGAAGCCCTCCGTGACGTGGAATGGGTGGCCAGTGCATGACGTAACCGGCACGTGCCGTTTCACTGCCGGCCGGCCAGGCCTTTGGGTTCCTGGACCGATGCATCTTGCTTGAATCCATTTTCCAAAGTCTGGTTCATATTTGGGGGATTTGTCGGAAACTCGCGGCGAAGCAGTGTTGTTCTAGAATCTCAAGCCATCAGAGAGAGGGAACGGTGACAGCCATGGCCCGTAGAGCTGAGAATCATGGCGATCATTGGAAAGCCCCAATGAGACGCAGTGTGCCCTGAACCAGAAAGGCTTCCGGCTTGCTGCCGGCCACAGATGGTGCGTGCCTGAGACATGCATCTCTTCAATTCCCCAACTGGAACCAATCATGCAACAAAACAGAGTGAACCCCCCAGGACACCTCCAGGCGTAGAGAAGATGTCTTCCAACAGACGATAATGGCCAAGACGGCTTTCAAGGTCGTTAACGCATGTCATCGATATTTCTAGAAAATCAACAACATCATACCATTCTCTGTAGCCTGTAGCCGGAGCTACGACGTTCTTTGAATGCCTGATAGGGTCCTTCGGCCCGTTGTTTCGTTGAGATGTCAAAGTCTATCATAGCCGTACCAGATAAACGCCGGTCTGTTTCAATGGCGACCGATGTTATGTCGAGCAGAAAAGTTTCGCATTCAGAAGCCCCGTCTGATCTCCAGCCAGGGTCCAAGCTTCTCGCGAAGCACCCACGTGCTTCGTCTAGAACGTCAAAAGTTAGGTGAAAGAGAAGTTCTTGCAAAGAACCATGGAGGAATTAGCTAATAAGCGCTGAGTTGCGGAGATTTTGGGGTTGGGTTGTGGTATATAAAGACTGCCAACCAGTGAATGCAAATATCGCTGCGGTCCGAGCAGGGACCAGCATCGCGGTGTTGTTCCGCGAGGTGCTCTTGAAACGGAGGCCGCGTAGCTGCTCCCTCGCCTCCAGATGACATAACCACGCGAAGCTTGCGGGCACCAAATCGCTGCCTTAGCTAGATTAGATGAATTTTACGGAGTACATATTTTGAATTCCCATCGGAGATTCGAAATGCCGTTTGACAAATGAGACCCATCTCGGCTGAGGCGCATCGAGAATAGAGTACATCCGAGTTGAAACTGCTTGGGACGTTGGGCGTGACTCTGATTTAGGCTACTAGTTGGCATAGTCGTAAACACAGCCGCAACGCAACTTCGATCGACAAGGCAATACGAATGTCGATCAAGCCACCGCAGACCTGACAATATTACCTCCATCTACCGGTAGGTGAAGCAAGGCAGAGTCCGAGGACACCGAGGCCGACTCGATTGATTAGTATGGCTCGACTCAAACGACTTCGAGCTGCTGTTCATGTGGGCGTAGAGTAACAGAACCGGTGCCGACGAGCTGCGGTGATAGCCGGGGGTCCTGATTTCCTTCGAGAGGCAAGGGCTGGCGCTAGCTCCAAGGGCCCATCCGTGGCAGATGGGGGCCGATGGTAATGGTGCGAACTAAGACACTTCTTCCAACCTTCTCGAAGCTTGAGCCCTGCGAAGTGTATTGGATAAGGGGGGTCTGAGCCGTTGAACCCGCGGATTGGTCCAAAAAACGATGCCCCGTCCGCCAACCTTCACAGACTTGTTGAAGTGCCTCAAGAAGCAACCCCATCAGCCGGCCACGGTAGGTAACGTAAAATGTTGTTTACGTCGCCTTCGACCGCGGAGACGTGTGTCGATGCTCTCCTATCGATCGGTACCGAGCCGTGCTGTCAATGCTACTTGCAAAGGCGTTGGGAACGGCTACCCGAAGTAGCGACAGGGTAGGCCTAGGCGATACATCATTGTGGGCTGATACCATGGGCGCCAGATGACGCCTCGTGTGTGCCGGCAAGTGAGGTATGGCCGTGTGGAGCCATTTTAACGTTCGCTTCGCTGCTACGACGGGGGCTAAGTGCAAAGCTGTTGGATCCCTCAGAAGGAATTTTGTGAGTGCCGGCTGGTAACGTGCTAACTCCATGGACGTTGATGCCTTCTTGGAAGCCCCAGAGCCGTTGATCAAGCTGGTCGCAAGGACATAGCTGAATCTCTCCACGTGGTGGACAGGGAGATGTTGCTCAGTGGCGGCAATCTTGGTGCGCGCTGCCACAACTGTCTGTACTCGGAGACAGTCTTTCCCAAAGGTGCTCTGACACGCCCTCAAACGGGCATACTCCCTAGATTTGTCTTGGACACGGTTTGCGGCTCGCTATTTTGTCAGGGGCAGTGGTACTAAGTTCTGGAATGAGGCACCTCTTCAACGCTCATGTCAACTGACTGGGCCTTTCCCAAAGCTCTATGCTCAACGGCTAGTTGGCGACTTGTCATGGTAAGCTGCTTGGGAGTGGAGGTCGACACTGTGTAGTGTATGAGCGCAGCTTCAAGCAGGACAACGAGGGTGGGGAGGCATCCTGAGACTGAAGTAGACAGTTATTTAGGGCACGGTAGCGAAGTATCCTGTTATCGAAGAGCATATTGAGCATAGGTGCGAGCCAACACGTCTCTATTATTGTTCTCCGTAGCCATCGTTGTGCCGCTTTGTAGATTGTGCTTGTGCAGGTATGAATCGCTCACGGCAATAGTCCTCTGAAGGTTGCTCGATCCATTAGCGTGTGTTGATATGCTCAGAACCCAAAACAGGAATTCCTTCGTCGCGGAGCTAGGTGTGTGACAAAGCCGCATAGGCGCAACCCGGGAGAACAATAGAGGTCGATACACGACTGGGACGCAGTGTGCCGCTTGTAGTTGCAGTACCAACTACCTTGGTCCCCGACGAGGGCGAGGGACGTGAGTGACGGGTTCGTGCTGGACGGAGAAGACGCGAAGGCGGCGACGGCGGCAAGGAGCCGGTATGCAAGAGAGCGTGGCTATGTCCAAGGGTTCCCTCCCGAGGGAACGTGGAAAAGGCGCCGTGGTCGAAGAGTGGACTTTTGAGCCCTGCCGTGCATAATACATGGTGGTTTCTGCAGCCTGGCAGCAGGTTATAGTCACCGCCGGCGGCCCTCCAGCGTCTACAGCCTCTTGTCGAGCGCCAATAGACAATTCACCACGGGATGATTCATGGACTGAGTTTAAAGGTGGTGAGAGTCGCAGTAGTTTTGGAAAGAGAAGACTATCCGTTTCTTCGGATAGGTAGGCAAAGTTGAAGCTGTCTCCGACGTCTTGGAGACCCGCATCCCCGGGAATTGAAGCCTAGTATCGCCTATGGCCTGCGTGTGTGTTTTGTGCCGATAGAGTCCAACAAATGTGAGGCGAGCGGTATGACGGGTGGGTTTTTGGATGCACATTCCGTTCTTTAGCACGGATGGAATTTCATTCGCGACCCCATTTTCCCACCTTGGGTCAAGCGATGGGACGCTGATGTGGCCCTGCCCTTGCTGTGCTGCTGCTCTCTGAGGTACTCGGTAGAATCTGCTTGGGTTCCCTCCGCCGTGGTTCATTGCGCGCACATGGCAGCCCAGGCAGGAAGGACAGATGCAACGAGCACGGCCGCAGTCTCCGGCACAGCACTGACACCGCTCCCAAGTGCGACAGGGGACGGTACCTAAGCCAAAGGCTCCAGCAGACGTGCTTCGGCACCTCGGATCTGTTGGCCTTTGGGTTCCTAACAAGGGGACATTCCATTGAGTTAGGGGACTTGAGAAGTTGGGGCGGGTTATGCAGTTGACGAAGCTCGTGGGGTCCTAGACCGAGACTACATATTAGCTCGCAGAAAGCAGAGGCAAGGCAGGTTTATGAGACGAGACATCGCGGGGAATACGATCTACCTTAGCACGGATTGTCATGTGCAGCCGTCTGCTCGGAGGTACCTCATCTACCTTGACCTGTGCAAGTCATGATCGTGGGAGCCGTCTCTGCATAGTCTGCAGTGTACAGACGCATTTTCGAGAAAGCACCTGGCTTTGGTCGCCGACGAGGAGCAGCACTAGGGCTACTGGCCTTATGCAGTAGCCCTGATGGTTCTCGTCGTTCCCCAAACGTGAGTGTCGTTTGCTCAGCTCGAGTCGAGACAACAGAGTCGAGGTTGACACTCGAGGAGAGACGTACACACCCGACAACGGTGATGAAGGAGAAAAGTGATCGAGGGTTTTCAGGCTGCCTGCCGGAATTCGTGGTTAGCTTGATTTCTTTCCATAATCAACCCCGATGGCTGCGTGTAATGTATGATTCGAGACTTTTTCCGACGTTCATCTTCATGACCACCTCATGATGGAAAGTGCCAAACACCTCGCATTGCTGCCGCAACCTAAGCTCAAGGCCAAGTAAGGTAGATAGGTACCTTACCTCCACGTCGCCTTACCGTGTTACCAGGGGTGCCTCCACCAGTCGTATCAAAATTGCAAGTCCGGCAACTTGTGTATGTCATGTACCTGACCGAACCAAGCCCCCCCCCGTTGCCGTACGGTACTGCCCTGGGTGTTGGGTGCTGTTGCTGCAGCTGCATATGGACCAATTGCGCCCACCACACACGCCCTCGATTGTTGGACAGCATCTTGTTTTGTTCCTGCCGGTCGTTGTCTCTTGTTACTCGTTGGTGTTTCCATGTAGGTACTTGTGTGGAAAGGTAAGGTCAGGCAGGTGAGAAAGACCAGCCTATTGTGGGAAGTCCTGCCCAGGCAAAAAGGCAAGGTCAGCGGTACCTGCCTCACTATCTACTGTGTAGGAATAGGTATACCTGTGGATGCACAAGTCTCCGTAAGGTACGAATACTCACGTACCGTCGTAAACACCGGGCTTTTTGCAATCCTCTTTTTTTGGGAGTCGTTCCCCAGGAGCAAAAGAGACAGTGGAGGAGGTACTTTCGGTCGCACTGCACGCACCATGCAAAACTAGGTACCCTACCTGACGGAGCATTTTCCCAAGTCCCACGCCAACACCAATTTTCTTCTCCTGCGTCTACGGTCGACTTCCCTCCTACCTTTCCATCACCTTTCCCTCTTTTCGGTTCCTTCCTCCTTGCCCCTACCGAAACCTCCCACCTCTTCCTCCTCCTCCTCTCCTTCCCCGAGTTGCTGCGAGGACAAAAGGTATTTCGACACGAGGTCCGGTCAATTTCCTCCTCGTCTCCTTTTCTGCCCTTGCCTGCTTGTTGCCGCAACTTCCGCTTCGGTCTTTTTTTTGCTGTGCACTTCACTTTGCTCGGCACCTCTCCTGAAGCTTGAACCGGGAACCACTCCCGTCCCCTCCCCGAGCATCCGTCGTTTGTTCGAGTCAACCACACACCTACAGCTACTCACCTGCTGTGTGGGAAACAATTGTTTGAAGCATCGGCTTGCTTTCCCCCAGGCATCGCCATAGCCATTATCCTTACCGTGCAGCCTTTCGTCATCGGCCACGTTGTCGCCTTCCTACCAAAATGTCTGGTTCCCAAGCTGGTAACCAGCTCAACATCGATCGCTATGTCGTGATCCACGTCGCAACCACCTGCGATGAGCATGGAGTCTACGTCACAAAGGACTCGGCCGAGGTTATTGAGCTCGGCTGGATTCTTCTCGACGCCAAGTCTCTGGAGGAGGTGAGTTGGCATCATCCATCCTTAGCTTTTTTGCGGGCTATCCCTCTTCACTTCTTCAACCCAGAGCTGACCGAGCTTGTCTCTAGATCACCCGCGAGAGCGTTCTTGTCAAACCCATCAACACTCCGATCACACCCCTGTGCAGTAAGTAGTCACACCAGGCTTGAGACCTCAATTCCCTTCCCGTCACGCCATATGACGTCTCTCTGAGGCGCGGCAACGTCCTCGTGAAAAAATTCCCTAGCTGACCTCGGCATTTTTTCTCTTCCTCTAGCGAGCTTGACGACCCTGACCTGGGAACATGTCCGTAACGCTGGTACCTTCCGCGATGCCATTAACCGATTCGACACCTTTGCCAACGAACACTTGACTTCGCAAAACCTCGATTTCGTCTTCGTTACCCTCGATGCTTGGGACCTTCGCGTCCAGCTGCCCCGAGAGGCCCGCGACAAGGCTGTCGTTCTGCCCCCGTACCTTCAGCACTCCCGCACGTTCGATTTGCGAACCGAATATCAGCGATGGCAGCAGCATCACCCCGAATCGTTGCCTTTTGGGCCCTCAATGCTGTCCAATATCTGTGCCGCCTTGGAGGTGGAGCCGGTCCAGTCCAGTGCTCCAATCAAGCACAACCTGCCTTTCCACCTCCAGGCGCTGGCTCCTGCGTCTCCTCGCCGCGCCATGGAGGAGGCTGTCACTCTCGCCCGCGTTCTGCGAGGCCTCATTCGCAAGTCGCAGCCTTCCCATGAGCACCCCGACGTCTTGACGAGACCAATGGATGCTCGCGCCGATGTGCGGGCTTTCTTGTCGGAGCGCAGCAAGGTCCTCCACATGTCTGGCCTGCCCCATGATACCACTCAATCCGAGCTCGAGAGCTGGTTCACTCAGTTTGGCGGTCGTCCTATTGCCTTCTGGACACTCCGTACCCCTGAGCAGCACAAGCCCACGGGCAGCGGTTTCGCTGTGTTTTCTTCCCACGAGGAGGTTAGTTAGCCATTTCTTTATCGCGCCTTGCACTGCCTATTGTATCCCTCAAAAATCTACGTGTAGCGTCTTCGAAACCGATCACCAGAAGTGGCTTTTCCGAGGTAACCCTGCTGACGTCCTTCCTAGGCCGCTGAGAGTCTGTGCATGAACGGTCGTGCCCTTAACGAGAAGGCGATCGAAGTGTCTCCGTCTTCCAGCCGTGTCCTGGACCGCGCCGCTGAGATCCTCACCCCCTTCCCGCCCAGCAAGAACCGCCCTCGCCCTGGCGACTGGACTTGTCCTTCATGTGGCTTCTCGAACTTCCAGCGACGAACTGCGTGTTTCCGCTGCTCATTCCCGGCTGTGAGTGCCGGACCTACCGGCGACATGGGCTACGGCTACGGATACGGACCACCGGCCATGATGCCCCCTCCTCAGCACCACCACGGACACATGGGTCACGGTGGTGGTCGCATGGGTGGCAGCGGCGTCGTGCCGTTCCGTGCTGGAGATTGGAAGTGTGGCAATGAGGTCTGCGGTTACCACAACTTTGCTAAGAACGTATGCTGTCTGCGATGCGGCGCCAGCCGTGCTGGTGCCGCCGTCGTCGCTGACTCTGGTGGCTACCCTTCCCCCATGGACCCTCCCTCCAACTACAGTATGAGCCAGGGCTCCATGAGCGGCACCCCCGGCCCTGGCCCCTTCGCCTCGGCCGGTGGTAACTTCGCCTCTCAGGGCGGCGGCTACGGCGGTCAGCACTTCGGTGGCCCGCCTAGCACCTACGCACTTCCCTCGGGCATTGGTGGCGGAGCTGCTCCCTACCCCTCCTCCCTCAACACGCACGGTTTCGGACCGGCCCCTGGATCCCACTCCGCCGGCCCCTTTGACAGCCGCGCTGCCGAGGCTGCCTTCCAGTCGGCCTCCAATGGCCCCGCATCCGCCGGCCCTTCGAACAACTTTTACTCGCAAAACGAAAACGATCCCTTTGCGTTCCTTTCCAGCGGCATTGGCGGTCTGTCCGTCAGCGGCGGTGATGCCCGCCAGAACGGAGGAGCTGCGCCTCCGAGCAAGTCTCCTGCTTAAATAACAAACCCGGCTACAAACATGGGGATCTAGGCGAGCGACATTAGCTACCTTGGATCGTTTTTTTTTGAGGGCCTACTTATTTCTGTGGAAACGAGCTTCGGAAACAAGACGAACATAGAGCATTGACCATTGGCAAATACCTTCAGGACTTACGCTTGCTTTCAACGGAAGGGGGTGTCTAGGTTTTGGAGATCACTTGGAAGGAGGTTGGCTGTCGGTATACCAAGGGATGCGGGAAAAAAGTTTGCTAGGCTGGAAAGACAAAAAGAGTGTTACACTACCGGAACGGACGGACACCACTGTTGGAATTGCTTTCTCCCTGACAAGCGTCAGTATAAAAGGGCTGGCTAGTTAAGGATTGTTGATTACGGCCGACCTTGCCTTTGGTTGGACGTTGCGGTTGCGGTACGGTCGGATTTTGGGCGGTCCAAAGGGGAGTGCATAGCGAAGGGAGTGTAACGGGTATACCTGGCCTTCATTGTGTGAGAGACGTGTTGATTTTTTCAATATTTCTAGTTCTTTTTTCCCACTCTCAAAGTCATCATCATCGTGTCTGGTTTTTCCCCTCTTCCCTCTCGACGTTTTCCACCATTTCTAGTCTCGTTCCATCTGGCCTTTTTTGTCCTCCCTTTTCCCTCCTCAACATTATATTCATTTCCAGATTGGCTTGGCATGTACTCCCACCCCTTTTCCACCTCTCTCTTCTCTCTCGACACTAAAAACAACATATGGTTTTTTCCTATACGGCGGAAATGGGCGGCAGCGTTGTGGGAGTCGGGGAGTGAAACAGGGTCCAGGGCAGGCTGGCTGGCTTTGGCTTTGAAATAATCTTTGCTCATCTTTTTGAAAAAAATGCGAATTCTGTGTTGTCATGTTTTGTCATTTATTGCTGTTGCTATTTCTGTTTGCGTCAAAAGCATAAATGGCAACTGCTATACGTCCCTGCGGTTTATTGCTTGCTAACTTTGAGAGATGGTCGGAGAGAGAGAGAGAGAGAAAAGCATACTGACTTTGTGCGTTTTCCGTTATGCCTGTGTTTGTTTGCTCATGCTGTCTTGATATGTTTCGGTGATAGAAAGGAGTAAAAAGCAAGGAAAGCTCAGCATGGTGTTCTGGCGCCTGCCCCTCCATCCCAAGTTTGATTTGTCACAATTCCTCGTAACTCAATTGTTTCCGCTTTTTGACTACTCAATTGACCTTGTGAATGAAGCCTAAATGACGAGTGTACTGCAAATAGGACACTCTTGTCGGTTGAAATTAGCTTCCTCGCTGATGCTCTCACGAACCCCCTAAACCCCAGAATCCATGTCACGTAGGTACGGAAGCACAAGGTAGATCAGTTGAAACGTTGAAAGGATAGCATGTTGGGAATCCGAAGTTATCTCCACAAATGACCACAGACGCCAAAAAGACAAAAACGAAATGGTAAAAGTGCCATCCTCCGAGTCAGTCGCCGCCGTTTTAGTCTGCCCCCCTCCCGTCCACCTGAGCCAACTCTACTTGTGGCGAGCCGGCTGATAAAGCTACTTGTAAGTATTCTTGAGACTCCACCTTGCCTATCGGTCAATCTCGTCAAGCGGCAAGTCGCCGTCGTCCCTGCCGACAATGGAGTCGGCGACCTTCCAGATCTGAAGCAGGTTGTCCTCGGCGGCACTGCAAACGAGCCAGGGTTCGTTAGGGTTCCAGCTGAAGTCTGCCAGGTGGTTGGTGTGTCCGCCATGCATGAAGAGACTGTACTAGTGTAAGCAACTGAATGATTCCTTGAGTAAGAGCAAGACTTACAGCTCCGGGGGTCCATCCTCCTGGTCGTCGGGCATCTGCTCCTCTCCGACGCGAGAAAGGTCCCAGAAGATGACTCTTCTATCGTAAGAGCCACTGCCGAGGATACCGGCCTCTTGAGGGTGCCATGAGAGAGAAGTTACTGCGTCGTTGTGTCCCTCCAGCGTGTGGACCTTCTCCTTGACATTACGAAGATCCCAGATGCCCAGGGTCTTGTCGGCTGATGCCGTAGCAACGAGCACTTCTGATGTGGGGTTGAACGCCAGGGCGTTGATGGCATCCAGATGGCCGCGCTTGGCGGTCACCGCAGCGCGGGTTGTATCGGCTTGTCGCACGTCAATGATTTGCATGGTCAGGTCGTCAGAGACCGTGCCGATGAAGCTCTTGGCGATGGGGTGGTATTGAACATCGTTCACAATCTGAGTGTGGTGTGTGTACTTGCGATGAGGCTTCAGAATGTTGCTACCGCTTTGGAGGTTCTTGAGGTCCCTGTTGAAAACTTGGTTAGACTGACGATTATTTTGGAGGATACGGGCAGACAAACCAGAGGCAGACGGTGCGATCTTCACTACCAGACGCAAGGCAGCCTTCCTCATGGGGGTTCCAGGCCAGACCGAATCCTTCCTGCTTGTGGCCGATAAGTTCGATCTGAGCATTGACCTTGCCAGTGGGCTGCAGGCTGTGCTTTGTGCGGTCGAATACGAGGACCTTGCCGTCGACGCAAAGAGTCGCAATGATATCGGGGTTCTGAGGCTGATAACGCGCCTTGTTAATCTCGCCGGGGTGGTCAATCTTCTGCACGATGTTGAACTCGACAGCGGTCGATTGTCCATTCGACGACTTGGCGTGACCTCCGATTTCCCCAGTCTCCTCGTTGTAGTCTTCGGGGTTCGGGGCCACAGACTTGGGGATCTTGACTTCGGCGATCTGGACGTGGTTTGGGAGGCCCTCGGATGTGTGTGTTCCTAGGAGCAGTCTGTGGATTCGGTAGTTCTTGTCTTCGGGTTCCTTGACGTCAGGGAACCATTGGGTAGTGAGTGTAGGCCATTCGAGAGCCGTGCTGTCAAATCATTAGCTACAATCAAGTTGCGACTTGGAAGCTCGCCGTACCTGAGAATCATGTCGTAGAGAAAGGGGCTGTTCTTCTTCCACGTCTTGTACTCTAAAGTCTGTTTAGCCAGATCCCACATTGAAGCTCCGAGTCTTCTGTAAGTTTACCTTCGTTGATGAGACGCTGCTCCTGGTCCTCGTCCTCTTCTTGGATCATGTCGACTAGCAGAGAGGTTAGTCTGTCATTTCAATTGGAGCTCGTCTGTGAAGCTTACCATCGACATCGTCAACGACTTGTGCGGGCGCCATTGTGTAAAGTCGCGAAACTAAAACGGAATCGCTCTATTATGAGATCGCAAAAGGACAGTCTGTGGACTTGTTTGATGTGTTAGGCTTCGCAGCGCAATGATCGGAAAGTTCTTCTTGCTGGCGCAAACGACGGTCGGGTGGAGGTTGACGCGAGGTGGAGGTTCTGAAAGAAGACGCGCAGCGCGTAGATTGAAATTTGGCTGCATAGGTACTTAGCCTGAGCAAGCAAGGGCCAGGAAGGCTGGGAGACGCCTGCCACGCCAGGACTAAATTGGCATGGGCTCAATCGAAGATGCTCCCCACACATGTCGGCGCGAAAGCACCAGCCTCAGCTCCCCGGCCGAGGCGGGGCAATAGCTGTGGCGCAGTCTTGCGTTGTAGGCCCTGAGACTACCAGGCCACCTCACCCTAGAACATACCCCAACGTCCCGGCGCCTGTGAAAGGCGAAGAGTCATACCGTCAGGGCCAGAAACACTGATGAGCCTCTGTAGCCACTAGCGCCACTGGATTCTCCCACCTAGCCCCGCCACCGCCCAACACCTAGCTGGAGGCGGCGGTTCCTGCCCTGCATCATCCAATATCGATTGCGCCCATATCAGCCAGCATCCGGCGTCAGGTCCATCTGTCCAGCTTCATCTGCGCAACCAAAGATTCCACGTTCACGACCTCTCAACCCTCCCCCCCCTTCACACAGCTCGACAGACCGAGTTCCCTGTTCACCTGGCAGAATCGCAGACAAGTCTGGCTACCAAATTAGCCGACTGTTGATTATTCTTTCACTTGTTCATTTCTTCTTTTCTTTTTCCGCGTCGCAACCAGCTTGCGACTGGCTCACCTGGACCTCCTGTGTCAGGACCTCCTTCGTGTTTAGAGAGGAAGAGATACAAAACTCCCGAACGCACCCTTTGCATCGCATCGAGACGGATCGATACAGACTTGTAATCGTCTGTTGAATTCATTGCTTCGCTACAAAACTTGACCAATAGTTGCGCTCAGCTCAAGCGCGCCACCATCACCACATCATGGGGTTCGCCGAGCTTCAACTTCCATCCTCTAGCCATTTGCTAACCCCGTGGCCCGCAGTGTTCCCAAATTCTTCAGATGGCTCTCGGAGCGCTACCCAGCCATCTCTCAGCTCATTGCTGAGAACCGCATTCCCGAGTTCGACTGTCTCTATGTTCGCCTCCCCCAAAACCACATCACTTCTTGGACTACAATAGCTAATTCTCTTGGGTAGCTCGACATGAACGGTATCATCCACAATTGCACGCATAAGGATTCCGGCGAAGATACGACATTCCGTCTTACCGAGGAGGAGATGTTTATACGCATCTTCAACTACATTGAGCACCTGTTTGGAAAGATCAAGCCGAAACAGCTTTTCTTCATGGCCATCGACGGTGTTGCGCCGAGAGCCAAGATGAACCAGCAGCGTGCTAGACGTTTCCGAACCGCCCTCGACAACGAAAAGGCCCGTGACAAGGCGATTGCCGAAGGTGTCGAGATGCCCAAGGAGCCTCCTTTCGACAGTAACTGTATTACGCCTGGTACTGAGTTCATGGCCAAGTTGACGCAGCAGCTCAAGTACTTTGTCAACAAGAAGGTTTCCGAGGATGCCGACTGGCAGGGCTGCGAGATTGTTCTGTCTGGCCACGAGACCCCTGGTGAAGGCGAGCACAAGATCATGGAGTACATCAGAAACGCCAAGGCGCAACCTGATTACGATCCCAATGTGCGCCACTGCTTGTACGGCCTCGATGCCGATCTCATCATGCTGGGTCTTCTTAGCCATGACCCCCACTTCTGTCTTCTCCGAGAAGAGGTCACTTTTGGCCGCGCGAGTAAGGCCAAGAGCAAG